CCACACACCACACACACACACACACACACACACACATACACACACACATACACACACACACACACACACACACACACACACACACACACACACACACACACACACACACACGTACATACACACACACACACACACACACATACACACACACACACACACACACACACACACACACACACACACACACACACACACACACACACACACACATACACACACACACACACACACACACACACACACAACACACACACACACACACACACACACACACACACACACACACACACACACACACATACACACACAAACACACACACACCACACACACACACACAACACACACACACACACACACACACACACACACACACACACACACACACACACACACACACACACACACACATTCAGCCAGCCACAGGGCGAGCGGCTGACACGTTAAGCATGGCTCGTTTCTTGTCGCAATTACTCTTGCTACTCAGAAGAGGAGAGGAGGAGGAAGAAGAGGAGGGGGAGAGGAGGAGGAGAAGGAGGAGAGGAGGAGGAGGAAGAGGAGAAGCAGAGGAAGAGGAGAAGGAGGAAGATGAAGAGGAGAAGCGGAAGAGGAGAAGGAGGAGGAGGAGGAAAAAGAAGAGGAGAAGAGGAAAAGGAGGATGAGAGGAAGAGGAGAAGGAGGAGGAGAGGAAGATGGGAAGGAGGAGGATGAGAGGAAAAGGAGAAAGAGGAGGAGGAGGAGGAAGAAGGAGGAGGAAGAGGAGGAGGAGGAGAGGAGGAGAGGAAGAGGAGGAGGAAGTGGAGAAAGAGGAGAGAGAGAGAAGAAGGAGGAGGAGAGGAAGGGGAGACGGAGGAGGAGGAGGAGGAGGAGAGGAAGAAGATGGAGAGGAGAAGGGAGGAAGGAGAAGGAAAGGGAGGAGGAGGACTAAGAGGAGGGGAAGGAGGAAATGGAGGAGATGGAGGAGGGAGGAGGGGGGGAGAGAGGGAGAGAGAGAAGAGAGAAGAGAGGAGAGAGAAGAGAGAGAGAGAGAGAGAGAGAGAGAGAGAGAGAGAGAGAGAGAGAGAGAAGAGAGAGAGAGAGAGAGAGAGTAGAGAGACAGAGAGAGATAGAGAGAGATTAGAGGAGAGACAGAGAGAGAGAGAGAGAGGAGGAGAGAGAGAGAGAGAAGGATGAGGAAGAGCAGAGAGAGAGAGGACGAGAGAGAGAGAGAGGAGAGAGAGAAATTTGAGAAGGAGGAGAAGAGAGAGAGAGAGAGTGAGAGGAGAGAGAATGAGAGAGAGATGAGGAGAGAGCATGAGAGAGAAGAAAGAAAGAGTGAGAGAGAGAAGATCAAAAAGAAGAGAAAAGACATCCGATACGGCGAAAGAGAAAGAGACATTCCGATACGGCGGGACGGCGAAAAAATACAAAGAAGAGAAAGAGGGGTATTTAATTAGAAGTGCAAACGAAGTCATGACAGCGGCACTCATGTCAGGACCCGCCTTGACATATCTGATCTCCAGTTCACGTCAGACTCTTGAACCCGTGACATAGTATCACCCTCCACCCCCCCCCCACCCCCCCGTCAAAAAGAGAGAATAAAACAAGTATAAATTGCGCTTGAAGATTGAGCCTGTGTTACATGGGGGAAGATAAAGGAGATGAAACGGAGAAGATTAGAAAGAAAGACAGAAGAGAAGAGAGAGAAAGAGAAAGAAAGGGAGAATGAAAGAGAGAGAGAGGTGGGAGGAGGAGGAGCAGGGAGAGAGAAGGGAGGGGGAGAGAGAGAGAGGGAGGGAGGGAATGGGAGGGAGGGAGGAGGGATGAGAGAGAAGAAGAGAGAGAGAGAGAGAGAGAGAGAGAGAGAGAGAGAGAGAGAGTAGAGAGAGAGAGAGAGAGAGAGAGGGAAGAGAGAGAGAGAGAGGGAAGAGAGAGAGAGACAGACAGAGAGGGAGAGAGAGAAGAGAGAGAGAGAGAGAGAGAGAGAGAGAGAGAGAAGAAGAAGAGAAGGAGAAGAGAGAGAGAGAGAGGAGAGAGAGAGAGAAGAGAAGAGAGAGAGAGAGAGAGAGAGAAGAGAGAGAGTGAGAGAGAGAGAAGAGAGCGAGAGAGAGAGAAGAGAGATGAGAGAGAGAGAGAGAGAGAGAGAGAGAGAGAGAGAGAGAGAGAGAGAGAGAGAGAGAGAGATAGAGAGAGGAAGAGAAGAGGAGAGAGAGGAGAGAGAGGAGAGAGAGAAGAGGAGGAGAGAGAGAGTGAGAGCGAGAGAGAGAAGGCGAAGAAGAAAGAAGAATTAATAATAGCTTTAAGCAATCACTGAAGTGTATGTTTCCTCCAAAGGAAGTGAGGGTGAGGGTCAAGGAGTGAGGAGAGGAGGGGGGAGGGGGGGAGGAGGAGGAGAGAGGATGAAGAGAGGAGGGAAGGGGGAGGAGGAGGAGAGAAAAAGAAGAAAAAGATAAGAAGAAGGAGAAGAAGGAGGAGCAGGAGCAGGAGGAGGAGGAAGAGGAGGAGGAGGGGGAGGAGAAGGAGGAGAAGAGAAGGAGGGAGAGAAGTAGTAGTAGGAGGAGGAGGAGGAGGAGGGAGGGGGGGGGGAGGGAGGGCGAGGAGTGGAAGGAAACAGAAAAAAAAGATAAAAAAAAAAAAAAAAAAAAAACAGTTCGTGCCAGTGTCATGATGATAATAGTGATGGCGACGAAAGACTCGTTCGAGGAGATGCAATCCGCCTGAGCCAGAGTGGATGTAATTTCTTATACTGTTACTAATACAAGTAGCAATGGCAATGATACTAATGTTAGCGCTGATAATAAAAGAGATCAGCACAACCATCATCTGGTGAAGCGGCAACAGCAATATACGCCAAGTCATAATTCCAAGATTAAATAAATGTCTTTCGATAATGGTGTAATAAATTTAATATTCCCCCGAGCTTTTTACCCGCCTTACCGCCATGTATCATCATCTGTTCAATCTGACGGGAATTCCACACTCGCCCGGCCGCAGAGTGGGATTAAGTGATACCAGTACCTTAACGCTGTCATAAACTGACTTTTCTGATTGTATCCATGACTTATGAATGATTTGTATGCATATATATATATATATATATATATATATATATATATATATATATATATATATATATATATATATATATATATATATATATATATAATATTATATGTATATATGATTACATGTATGTATGTATATACGTATTTGTATATATGCATATGTATATTATGTGTGTATATGTACATATATATATATATATATATTATATATATATATATATATGTGTATATATGTGTGTGTGTGTGTGTGTGTGTGTGTGTGTGTGTGTGTGTGTGTGTGTGTGTGTGTGTGTGTGTGTGTGTGTGTGTGTGTGTGTGTGCGTGCGTGGTGTGTGTGTGTGTGTGTGTGTGTGTGTGTGTGTGTGTGTGTGTGTGTGTGTGTGTGTGTGTGTGTGTGTGTGTGTGTGTGTGTGTGAAGTTGAAGAAAAAAATAATAAATAGGTTAATTACAGAGGAGACTGACAGTACTGAATACAGAGGAGAAGAAGAGAGAAAAAAATCCAGAAAAACGCCAAGCATCCGGTCCCCAAAGTAGCGCCAGAAATGAAGACTTACAGGCCATGCACTTGCAGCCCGTCCCCCCCCCCCCGCGCAGCCTTTCCCACCCTTCCTGCTCTCCCCCTGCCCCCTGCCCTCCCCCCCTGCCCTGCCTACCTCCTGTCCCCCTGCCTGCCTCCTGCCCCCTTGCCCCCGGCCGCTGCCCGCTTCGCCTTTCACCCTACCACCCTCGTCCTTGCCCCTACTCCCCCTGTCCCCAGGCCCCCTGCCCACCGCCTGTCCCGTTGCCCCCAGCCACTGCCTTCTCCACCCTACCACTGCCCCTTCCCCCCAGCCCTTTCCCCTTCCCCCTACCACCCCTGCCCCTTGGCCCCTACTCGCCCCCTGTCCCCTTGTTCCCCTACCCGCTTCCTGTCCCCTTGCCCCTTACCCACCCCTGTCCCCCTGCCTCCTGCCCGCCCCTCCCGTTGCCCCCCAGCCGCTGCCTTCCCTTCGCCCTTCCACCCTACCTCCCCCTGACCCCTTGGCCCCCCTTCGCCCTTCCACCCTGCCCCCCCCGGCTGTCTGACTCACGCCTTGCCCGCGCCGAGTATGCAAATGCCCCTTCGCACCCTTCGCCCCCTCGCCCCCTTCGCCCTCCTCGCCCCTCGCCCCTTCGCCTCCTCGCACTTCGCCCCCGCGCCCGCGCCGCTGATCGACACGCCGCGCACCCGGGAATTATGGGTAATATTCGCCGGTTTTATCCTTCGCTAATTCACGTTTAGGGTGTCGTTAGGTTAAGGGTGGCTGTTCTCGCTCCTCCTCCTCCGATGGCTCCTTCCCCTCTTCTCCTCCTCTTCACACCCTCCTTCTCCCCTCCGCCCTCCCCCCTCCGCTTCCGCCTCTTCACCTACTCGTCCTCCTCGTCCTCCCCCTCTCTCTCCTCCTCCTTCCCCCTCTTCCTCCTTCTCCTCCTACTCTCCCTCCTCCTCCTACTCTTCTCCTTCTCTCCTCCTCCCCCTCTTCTTCTTCTTCTTTCTTCTTCCTTCTCCTCCTCCTCCCCTTCCTCCTTCATTTCCGCCTCCTTCTTTTCCTCCTCCCCCTCCCTATTCCTCCTCCCTCCTCACCCTTTGAGATGAGGGAGATGGAGTTTAAATTGACAAGTTAAACGCGAAGAGGCAACACAAGCTCTCGTATGGGGATGGGAGGGGAAGGGGTGAGGGGGCGGGGGGGGAGGGTGAGGGGAGGGGGAGGACACGAATGGCCAAGGGAAAAAAGGAGAGAAACAGAGAAAATAGAAAAAAGAGAGAAAAACTCACCTTGACTCATCAAAAGCAGGAACGAAAAAAAAGAAAACCGAAGCAAAAGTAGAAACAAAGAAAGGGCAAAAATGACTCACCTCGACCTGTCCAGAGCCAAGGCAAGACAAGGAAAGACAAAGCGGAGAGGAAGGCAAACAAACAAACAAGCAAACAGCTCAC